GGACATCCTTAACAAAAGTATGCCTAGCTGGGGAGCTACAGTTCTTAATAAAAGGATGCATAGCTGGGGAGCAGAACACCAGGTCTTGGTAATCAGGGGAGTCACCCTAGAGGGAGTCCTTAAACTGGGTCTTGTCCATTAGACATTCACTCAACAAACACTTCTTGACACGTGCTATATGCCAATTACTAAACTAGGTGCTGGAGATAAAACATTGTTAAGCCATGATCACCAAGACAGTCACCCTAGAAGCATTGCTGTAGCTCAGCAAATTGCCCTTTGTTGTGCTTCCATCAGAGGCATCCCTCTGCACTGGTCACCCAGTCAGGGATACTGTCAAGGACACTGCTCCTCACATAACACAATGTGCTCTTTATAAGCATCCCTGGGAGACATTCCAATCTGATCTCCATTCCAGGAATAGTTTTACCTCTCCAGAGTACTGGATTTATGTTTTATCTTCAGATATCATTAATTGTGGGACCAATGAGGTTGCCAGCTTAGAGACAAATTCATGGCCCAGCTGCAGCAAATGTGAAGGTCATTCTTCTGTGCATTTTAGCTTTGTCTCTGGTTCCATTTTGTTACTACCCATGTTTTTACTTTCTTCGTTCTTCACACTTTTAATGTATGGCATCTTGGGGTCTATTATCTCTGTTTATTTGTTGTATCCTTAGAAGTGGCTGTGAACCCTTCTGGAAGAAAGCATTGCCTTCCATGTTTATAATACAGCATACGTATTTGCATAAATGCTATGATGGAGGTGTGCACACTGGGTGATGTGGGAACACAAATAATAATGCCTTATTAATTATCAAAGGCATTAGAGAAGATCCTGCATAAGGGTCACTGCTTGAGTTGTATTTTCTTTTCTTTTTTTTTGAGATGGAGCCTCACGTGATTGCCCAGGCTGGAATGCAATGATGCGATCTCAGCTCACTGAACCTCCACCTCCTGGGTTCAAGTGATTCTCCTGCCTCAGCCTCCCAAGTAGCTGGGATTACAGCCACATACCACCATGCCCGGCTAATTTTTGTATTTTTAGTAGAGACAGGATTTCACCATGTTGGCGAGGATGGTCTTGAACTCCTGGCCTCATGATCTGCCTGCCTCAGCCTCCCAAAGTGCTGGGATTACAGGTGTGAGCCACCACGCCTAGCCTGTATTTTCTTTTGTTCTGTATTTTGTTGAGGATGTCACAACACACCAATCTTCAAACAAGTTTGCTGCCACATGCATGCAAGAAAACTTTTTTTTAATCTTACAGAGTAGATTTTGGTGTTATATCATGGGCTTATAGGACACCACTGAAGTTGTTTGTAATCAATCAAAGCTATTTCCATGATAGTTTCATCAGTTTTTTTCTGACAAGATTATGGGGCAAAACAATTCACATCTGCATCTGAATTTTTGTGCAGGGAAGGAAATTCAGATGAAATATCAAACAAGTTAGAATACATTTGACAACAAAGTGAGGTGAAGAATTAAAATAATTATCTAGAAGATGGATATACACAAAATGTTATCAACAAAATTTTTTAAATAAATGATGCCAAATGGGATTTAGGAATTTGTATTATTTAGACCAAAAGTCTGAGATTTTGAAGGGCTATTACAAGTCATTTTGTTTAGTCTTATATCTGTGCAGCAGTATTCTTCCTGAATTCTTTCCACTTTTCAGGTATATTCCCAACCTTGGAGTTTCCCGTGATGGTGTGATTGCCTACGTAAGAACAGGGTGAAAGTACTGTTGCTGACACAACATCTGAAGTGTGCTGAACCAGCAGATAATCTCTCAATGCACTCAATTTTAGCTCCTTTTTTTCTTAAGTGTTTTAGCCATGTAAAAATTCATTTCAACAAACAGCACACAGAAGATCTCAAGAAATAGGTCAGGATCTCGTAAATGAAACATTCCAGTTTACAAAAAAGACAGCAATAAACATGTTTACTGCACATCCTTTCACTCTTCAGTAGTATAAAACATTACAACCATCTTCCTTTAGGTTTAAAAAAATAAAGGAAAGAAAAAGTAAACCAAATGTACCTCATGACTTCTTTCAGCTCTCTACCAGGCCTGGACTTTAAAGACAACACTATTTTGTCTCTGTATTGAGGAAAATTGTAGACTTTTAACTTAGAGTGACTAAATAGAATGCATTACTCTCCCCCCATTTTTTCAGAATTAAAAAAAAACATAAAAACAAAACTATCTAAAAAGTACTGCTAAGAGGAAAGTCTACTCTGAGCTCAGCAATTAGGCACTCTGATGTTTGTTAGAGGAGGGCAGCCCAGGCAGGCAGAAAAATCACTGGACTGTGTAGTACTGGGCTGGACGTTTTAAGAAGGCAGGCACCATCTCCGCTTTTTCACAACTATATGCCCAGTACCTGGCACAAATTCTGGCACAATGCGTATTCATTCACAATTTATTGAGTACCAACTCTGTACCAGGCAGTGTTCTAGATGCTTAGGATATATTATAAAACAAAACAGACAAAAATTTCTGTCCAAAAGGAAAACTGTTCCTCTATTCATAATACTTTGGACCAAATGTCAAGGGTGGAGGGGCTTCAAACTAAGCAATTCTCTAATTCTCTGCAGACACCAACTGGGTGTCCTACAATTTAATTCAATCTGGACACTAATTACCCAACATTATTGCATATCCCACAGGTTAAGGGCTCAGTCTCACAAGACTGCCCCCAACTTGAGATACCAACAGCAAGTCCAGGGTCTCCTGTACTTCTGATAGACTGGCTATGAATGGGGGGTGTCTTCATGTATTTGAGCTGTTATAACATGCCATTAACTGGGGAGCTTACAAACACCAAAACTTATTTCTCAGTTGTATAAGCTGCAAAATCCAGGATCAAAGCACCAGATGAATGGGTGTCTGGTGAGGGCCTCTTTCCTGGTTTGTAGACAGAGCTGTGTCCTCACGTGGCAGAAGGGACTCACAAGTTCTCCTGGGTTTCTTTTATAAGGCCACTAATCCCATGACGTAGTCACTTCCCAAAGGTCCCATCTCTGAATATCATCAACTTGGGGATTTCCATTTTATGAAGTCCAATAGGATACGAACATTCAGACCACAGCGCAGAGATTCCCACAACCGCCTCCTTAGGTTCAATAACTTGCTAGAACAGCTCACAGAACTTAGAAATAACCTTTACATTTCTCAGTTTGGGGAAGGGATATGGACCTTCAAAAGGCCCTCTCCAGGAGCTCAATCCTTCCAACACCAACCTGGAAGCTCTCCAAACCCCTTTGGTTAGGGTTTTTTAAAATTGAGGCTTCATTATGTAAGCATGATTGATTAAGTCATTGCCCAATGGTAATCTCCTGCCCCTCTCTCCTCCCTGGAGGTCATGGCTTGAGGCTGAAAGTCCCAACCCTCCAATCACATGGTTACTTCCCGTAGCAACCAGCGCCCCCCTTCCGCCCTCCCCACCATTCTTTGAGGCTCTCCAAAAGTCACTTCATTAATATAAACTCAGATGTGATTGAAAGGGGTTTGTTACGAATAACAAGATACCACTTTCATCATTTAGGAAATGTCAAGGGTTTTAGGACCTCTGGCCAGGAGTCACAAATGAAAACCAAAATTTTATTTTTCATTTAATTTTTTTTTTTTTGAGATAAAGTCTCGCTCTGTCACCCAGGCTGGAGTGCAGTGGCACGATCTCGGCTCACTACAACCTCCGCCTGCTGGGTTTACGTGATTCTCCTGCCTCAGTCTCCTGAGTAGCTGGGATTACAGGCACGTGCCACTTCATTTTGGCTAATTTTTGTATTCTTGGTAAAGATGAGGTTTCACCATCTCTACTAAGATGGGAGGCCGAGGCGGGCGGATCACCTGAGGTCAGGAGTTCGAGACCAGCCTGACCAACATGGTGAAACTCCATCTCTACTAAAAATACAAAAATTGGCCAGATGTGGTGGCAGGCGCCTGTAATCCCAGCTACGTGGGAGGCTGAGGCAGGAAAATCGCTTGAACCCAGGAGGCAGAGGTTGCAGTGAGCCGAGATTGCGCCATTGCACTCCAGCCTGGGGGACAAGAGCAAGACTTCGTCTCAAAAAAAAAAAAAAGAAAAGAAAAAAGACACAACTTGCCCAGGCACTGTGGCTCACGCCTATAATCCCAGCACTCTGGCAGGCCGAGGTGGGTGGATCACGAGGTCAGGAGCTTGAGACCAGCCTGGCCAACACAGTGAAACCCTATCTCTACTAAAAATACAAAAAATTAGCCAGGCGTGGTGGCAGACACCTGTAATCCCAGCTACTGGGGAGGCTGAGGCAGGAGAATCGCTGGAACCTGGGAGGCAGAGGTTGCAGTGAGCCGAGATTGCACCACTGCACTCCAGCCTGGGCGACAGTGCAAGACTCTAAAAAAAAAAAAAAGTATGTACTCCTCAAAACTGTCAAGGTCCTTAAAAATAAGTGAAGTCTGAGAAACTGTCACAGTCAAGAAGAGACTAAGGAGACATGACAACTCAAAGTAATGTGGTGTCCTGGGTGGGATCCTGGAACAGAAAAGGGAAAAACTAAGGAAACCCAAATAAAGAACGAACTTTAGTTAATAATAATGTATTAACGTTGATTAATTAGTTGTGGGAACTGTACCATTTTAATGTAAATTTTCACAATAGGGAAGACGGAATGCTGGATAATGGAAACTCTGCACTACCCTGACAACTTTTCTGCAAATCTAATACTACTCTTAAATAAAAAGTTTAGTTTAAAAAAAATGAGGGGTGGCGAGTGGGGGTAGGAATGAAGGAGAGTTCATAAAGACTGAAATTGTATATAGTCAGAGAAGTAAGAGAAAAACTAGAACAAATTGGTGCTACTCAAAAAATAAATAAATAAATAAAAATCTGGCCCTAGTTAATTAAAAACTAAATATTCCAAGAAATTTAAATTTATACAAACATAAAAAACAGCATTTTAGTTAGGATTTACTTTCCACTTTGTGCTGATAAAATTTTTTTTTTTTGTAATAGTAGCTCAGTTTTATTTTCTGTGGTAACAAACATTTAAGAACCAGATAAAACAAGGGGCCCCTGAGTATCCTAAGGCCAGTACAGGCCGACCATGAGGCCCTTCCAGGAAAGTAGCAACTATGGGAATTCCCTGCCCTAGGGAAGAATGGATGCACTGCCTAGGAGGAGACGCAAGGTTAGACCACGCCCCATTTTGCCAGACCAGGCTTAGCGGGAAATGGGGGGCCCAAAGTGCTGCACGGTCTGCACCACCAGAGAAAGATGGTCGAGAAAGTTGATAACGGAAATTCGGAGCAGGCGACAGTCTTCAGCTTCCCAGCGGACGGCCAAGATCCTGCCGCTCACTGCGAGATTCTTCCCAACCACCCTTTGGTGGGGCTCAGCATCTGGAGCCAGGGACCCAAGGGCAATTTCCGCCTCTAAGGGGGTCGGGAAAGGCACGCTGAGGGTGAATACGTGTGGCCGCATTCCTGGCCCCCTGGCCACAGACGTGGCGTCTCTGCCAGGACCTGAGGCGTGAGGTGGGGGAGCTCCGCCGGCTGGAGCTGCCGCTGTGTCCGCGCCACCAAGACAGCTGTGGTCACCCTGGCTATCCCCGCAGTTGGTGCTTCCGCCTGCGTCTGCATCCGCGTCCCGCATGACCCGCCACCGCCGCTCCGACTCCTTTTCTTTTTAAATTGAAGAAAAAAGTATAGCTGTAGTTCTACTCACTCAAACCTGGACTCACCTTTTCCTTCACCCAATTTTGCTCCTACCCTGGCCTCTTCCTCCTCTTCCTCCTTCCAGGCTCCCTATCCCAGGAAGGGCATCTCCAACCATCCTGTTGCTCAAGCCAGAAAGCTGGAAGTCATTCCTCCTCCTCCCCACCTATGCATCGTCACCACGACTCCACCCGAAGACTTTACATGTTTTTATATTTGTATTTATTTTTCTCCCTCTCCATTTCTTCTATTTAGGCCTCATCACTTCTGATCTGATTGCTCACCATAAAAACCTGCTAAGAATCCAACCTTCATATTAGCACCCAAGTGATTATTGTGAAATGTAATCAAATCGGCTGTAAAACAAGGGTTACTGTAAGGATTACAATATGGCAACATTTGTAGTGTTTAGCACAGTACCTGACAGGTCCTCACAAAAGAGAGAAAAGATGAGGAAAGAGAAAAGAAACAAAAAGTCAGCTGTTACAGGTTATATCACCCCATCCCTAAAATTCCCCAGTGTCTCTCAAGAGCCTTCAAAATAAAATTCAAACTTTTTAGCATAATGCCCAAGCCCTTATTATTTGGCTCCTGCCAGGCCTCCAGCCATCTCCGGCTACCTCTATGAACACTTATGGCCATGTGGTTATTGAAAGTTATTGGCCAGGCATGGTGGCTCACGCCTGTAATTCCAGCACTTTGGGAGGCCGAGGCAGGCGGATCACCTGAGGTTGGGAGTTCAAGACTAGCCTGGCCAACATGGAGAAACTCTGTTTCTACTAAAAAATACAAAATTAGCCAGGCGTGGTGGTGCATGCCTGTAATCCCAGCTACTCAGGAGGCTGAGGCAGGAGAATCACTTGAATCCGAGAGGCGGAGGTTGCAGTGAGCCAAGATGGCTCCATTGCACTCCAGCCTGGGCAAAAAGAGAGAAACTCCATCTCCAAAAAAAAAAAAAGAAAGTATGAAGTATCCCACTGAAAAAAAATATAATGGTAAGAAAAGAAGCCATCCGTGACAGCAACAATAAAAAATGCCTGCCTAGTAACACATTTAAGAAGAAATGATGAGGACCTAGTTAAAAAAATGAAGAAAGTAAATATACAGTTATATGTTCATAAGTAGGAAGATTCAACATTTTAAACATGTTAATTCTCTTCAAACTGATACATAAAATCACTGTAATCACAATAAAACTCACAATGGGATTTGGGGGGAATCGGCCAGAAATATTCCCAAGTTCCTCTGGAAGAATAAACATATTCAAAAAATGCAAGGAATATTCTAAAAAGCAAGAACAATGAAGGGAAGTAGTACCGTGTATTTCAGTGGAAATTTAGTATACATTAAAAGTGGTGGCCAGCTGTGGTGGCTCACGCCTGTAATACCAGCACTTTGGGAGGCCAAGGCAGGAGAACTGCTTGAGCCCAGGAGTTCAAGAACAGCCTGGGCAACATAGGAAGACTCTGTCTCTACACACACACACACACAAAAGTTGGGGGGCACATTTCATATTAGTCAGGAAAAATAAGATTAGTATTAGACAAACTAGCTTGCCATCTGGAGAAAAATAAAGATCAGTTACTTACAAATAATCCTCAGTCCTTACAGCAAAATAACTTCTAGATGGAATAAAAAATGTAAGTTTAAAATAGAACAATGATTCCAGATGCAATGGCAGGTGTCTGTAGTCCCAAGTACTGAAGAGGCTGAGGCAGGAGAATCACTTGAGCCTAGGAGTTCGAGTCCAGCCTGGGCAACACATCAAGGCTGTTAATTAAAAACAAACAAAAAAGGAAACAATGAAAGTACTAGACGTAACCTGTAAACCTGGGACAATAGATTTATATCTATAATGCTAGACTGGTGAAGGGGAAGGTGGAGAGAAGAAAAAGGCCAAAAAGGAAGAGTCACAACTTACCTACATAAAAATTAAAATCTTTATATGGCCCAAAAATATATATATATAGATACTAAGTAAAAAGCTAACAATATACTAAAGAAAATAATTGTAACACATGACAGACTAATATCTATCCCTAAAAGTGCTACTATTAAAATAGTGGTATTACACCACAGAAAAATGGTAAAATAATATGAACAGTTGACAGGAGAGTCAGTAAACATGTAAAACATGGTTAAACTTACTAATAAACTCGAAACAATAAAATATCACTTTTTATCTCCAAGTTTAGCAAAGATTTTCACAACAAAAGGTAGAATCCCTCATACTGGCAAGGCCTACTCACACATTGCTGGAAGCAGTTACAAACCAATAAGGAAACTTATTTATTACAATTTTAAATCTGCATTCATGTTGACTCAGCAATTTCAATTCTAGCTGTCCATCCAACAGAAATACTTGCATGAGTACTCAAAGCTGTATTTGCTAATTTCTCTGCAGCAGTTTGTAAAACACTGGAAATTGCTGAAATGTTCATCAGCAGGGGAATTATGGTGCCTGCATACTATGCCATTAAAAATAACGAGGTAGATTAATAATCCTAACATAGTAAGATGACAAAGTGAAAAGGGCAAGTTGTAAAAAGCTTGTGTGATCCCATTTCTATACAAACGAAGACCATACACAAAGTTATTGCTAGTTTTTTTTATTTTACATAAGAATGCTTCTTAAAACTGTTAACTTTTTTGTTAGTTTCGTTTTCAGACAGAGTATTGCCCTGTCGCCCAGGCTGAGGTGCAGCAGGGCAATCACCACTCACTGCAGCCTTGACCTCCCAGGTCCATCTTCCTGCCTCAGCCTCCCAAGTAGCTGGGAGTACAGTCCCACACCACCACACTAACTCTAATTTTTGTAGAAACGAGGTCTTACTATGTTGCCCAGGCTGGTCTCAAACTCCAGAACTCAAGGGATCCGCCTGCCTAGGCCTCCCAGTGCTGAGATTACAGGCTTGAGCCACCATGCACCCCTCTACTCTTCCTCTATTAGCATTTAACACTCAACTGTTTGTTTCTGGTTCCGTATGTTGTGAGCTGCTTGAAGGCAGGGACCATGACTTACGTGATTTTTTTTTTTTTTTTCCTGAGACTCAACAGTCTCGCTCTGTCACCAAGGCGGGAGTGTGGTGGCGCCATCTCTGCTCACTGTAACCTCTGCCTCCCAGGTTCAAGCGATTCTCCTGCCACAGCCTCCGGAGTAGGTGGGACTACCGGCACATGCCACCATATCTGGTTAATTTTTTCTATTTTTAGTAGAGAGGGGTTTCACCATGTTGCCCGGGCTGGGCCTAGAACTCCTGATTCCAGGTGATCCGCCCACCTCGGCCTCCCAAAGTGCTGGTATTACAGGCGTGAGCCACGGTGCCCGGCCTGACTTACGTGATTTTTGTATTACAAAGCCCTAGTACACTGCCTGGTAATATCAGACGTTTACTAAGGGTTGGTTTAAACTAAAAATGTTATACCAGAAGTGATACTTGAGAAGGCAACACCTAAGATTGAAAAAAATCAGGTGTCTGTCAGCCAAAGCAAAAGCACACAAAGGTGAAAAGGTGTATATGGGAAACTACAGATAGTTCTGTCACTGGAAAGCAGTTAATATTAATGAAAGAGGAAAGGCTGAAGAGGCAGCATGAGCATGCTTCCAAGGATAAAGTTCAAAATTCTCAACGTAACATATATACCAACAGACAAAGGCATGCCCTAACTAGCTCTGAAGCCTCACCTCCGGCTATTCTAGCTCCCTTAGCTCTGGATATATCCAATTAGTTCCAATTTCCTAAAAACACTATATTCTTCCAAACCTTAGTATAGCCTTCCCCTGTGCTTTGTCCATTGCTCTTCTCCCATTTTCAAAACTCAGCTCAATTGCCACTTTTCCCAAGGAAACTCTCTGATCTATCACGTCTAATAGGAGACTCTCCGTACTGACTTCTACCTCATGGTTTCCCTGGCAGTCTGTTGACTTGTTGGCTTCTCACTGAAGTCTAACTGGGGTTTTTCAACTCTGCATCTCCAGTTCTGTTTTTGTTTTAAATCGAGACGGGGTTTCACCACGTTGCTGGGGCTGGTACCAAACTTCGAGCTCAAGCAATCAGTCCACGCTTGCGTCCCAAAGTGCTGGGATTACACAAGTGAGTCACTGAGCCTGGCAAACTCCATCTTTCTTGGTGCTAGATACTGACTTCTCTGTTGTGCCCCTGGATAAAGAAGCGGACCCCAATTCCCATTAAGCCCCCGTAGTACCATTTTAAAGTCCAAGGTCTCACATTGCAGATTGTACATCCAGGTTCACTGACCCGTAGAATTTAAAAGTTAGGTGAAATAATTAAACAAATTGTTTTAGACACTCTTGCTGCTACTCTGTAGCCAAACTGGGTGAAAACCTGACCAGAGAGGTCCACGGCCCTCCGTGCATCAAAGACGGTTCAAACGTTTCACTGATTAGCTCAGTCCCAGACACTCTGCGCTCAATCTGCAGGAGTCAGCGAGGTCCAGGACAGATAACATGTGTCTAGGGGCCTGGACTTGCACAAAGAGCTCTAACAACTTCACAATTTGATGAATTAAGCCGCCTTGGACCGCGAGTGAAAAGCAGCAAGACCCAAGGCGTATGCTATTTGTCTGGGGACTAGACCCACCTGGCTCAAGCATTTCTCGCTCAGCGGGTTCCCAGAAAGAGGCGCCCATAGGAGGGTGAGCGGGGGGCAAGACTGTTCCAAGAGCTTTCCCCGTTCACACACAGCTCCCGCTGGATCACTGTACCCGAGTCCTTCCCGCCCTCGCGGGCGGAGGCGGCCACCCCACAGGTTTGGGAACCCTAGGACTTGCACTGCTCCTGAGCCATGCCCCACCAGCCGGAGACTTCCGCATCTCGGGCTTGCTGAGTGGAGAAAACGGCTCCAGAAGATTCCACGAGCGTCGGGAAGCCGGGTTAGCACCAACCCCCACAAGGCCTTTCGGCGCAGCTCCTCCCGACCCGTGCACCCCCGCGCCGTTGCCCAGGTAACCGCTGGGCGGTGTCAGCGGCCGAGAGGGGCGGGACTTCCGGCGGGTGACGCGCCAGGGTTCGGCTACAAAAGACGACGGCTGCGGCGCGCCGGGCGGAACTTTCCAGAACGCTCGGTGAGAGGTAGAGGAGCGGTAACTGCCCGAGCTGCGCACAGCTCCGCGCTCCTTTCCGCTCCCTCACACACCGGCGTCAGCCCGCACCGGTGAGTTTGAGCCTTCGAGCTTTCCCCAGTCCCCTGGTTGGCGCCATTGGCGCTGGGAAACCGATGGAGCCGCGGTCCGGAGGCCGTTGGCCGCGTGGGCAGGAGCGTTGTCAGTTCCTGGGCCCACGATTTCCCTTTTGGAGGGCTGCTGCGGTGCCCCGGCAACCCATCCCCGCCACGCACAGTGAATGGGCCCGAGACCTTTCCTAGACCTCCCTCCGTACCCAGCCTGGGATCTCCAAAGAGCTGCTGCCTTCGCCTCTCCGTCCGTGCGCGCCCCCGCGGCCCCCCTCGCCGTCCGTCTCACTGTTGGGGGGCGGGGTGGTTGGCGACCCTGCGCAGGCGCACAGAGAACTAGGGGCGAGGGGCTGCGGGGGGAGCCGGGCGGAGGCTGCGGCTTTCGGTTTCTGTTTCTCTGTCTCCCCTCCTCTTCTTTGTTGAGGGCTGGGCTTTCCCCTCCGCCACTTGGGTCCAGGGTGGGAGGGAGAAAGGAAGGAAATCTTAACGGTCGGCGCCAAGTGCAAGGGGAAACCTGGCAGGTAAACTCTGCCAGCCTGAGGGGCGAGAGGGATTCGGCCGTGAAAGTGGAGAATCTGTAAGCCGTGGGCGGTGGAGGGTTTGCTGTGTGGAGCCGGTAATCTGTTTTATAAACCTCTCCCCCCACCACTGTGTGCCCAGATGTCTTTTTCTGGAGAGTATATGGAGTTTGTCAGATTTACCAAAGACAGTGATAGTGTAATGACCAGTAGACTGACCATATCAGGGCTGCTTTTGTTACAACTATCACCACCTCTAGGGGAAACGGGAAGAATCCATATAATAATTGTGTGATATTAGTATGGAAGCTTTGGTGTGGGAGAATGGGAACCAGGTGCTAGAAGGCGGCTCTCGAATTACTTCCCGGTAATGATTATTAGTTTGTTTTGTCTGTTGGAGTTTATAGCTGAATTATCCCAGGAATTGTTACCTTTTTGGTGAAATTTAGGGAAAGTGGTGTTCTTATAATAGGATTTGGCAAAGAGATTGTTCGGCCTTAGCTCTCATTTTTATTAATTAAAAACTACCAGTTGAAAGCCGGTTAAAGTTGCATTTTCTTATTTCAGGCAGTAGAAGATGGTGAAAGAAACAACTTACTACGATGTTTTGGGGGTCAAACCCAATGCTACTCAGGAAGAATTGAAAAAGGCTTATAGGAAACTGGCCTTGAAGTACCATCCTGATAAGAATCCAAATGAAGGAGAGAAGGTGAGTAGTATATACTCTTAGACATATCTGAATATGAATAGTTCATTGCCAGATGTATAGTATTTCTGTTATGATCTGAAATCGAGTATCTAATACAGGAATTATGATCACTTCTCGGTCTTTTTAGCTAAGATCAAGTGTAATGTAGCTGGGTAACACTTGTTTTTTAAAAAAAAAATTCATTTTTCTTTTCTCAAACAGTTTAAACAGATTTCTCAAGCTTACGAAGTTCTCTCTGATGCAAAGAAAAGGGAATTGTATGACAAAGGAGGAGAACAGGCAATTAAAGAGGGTGGAGCAGGTGGCGGTTTTGGCTCCCCCATGGACATCTTTGATATGTTTTTTGGAGGAGGAGGAAGGATGCAGAGAGAAAGGAGAGGTAAGAATCTAGTCTTTGTGCAGCTAACTAAAGTTAGCTGTTGGTCAGAGCAGATCTTTGAGAAATCACCCATTTTAAATGTTTGTTTACATGTTGGTATAATGTTGCAAACTGACCACAAACTGCCTGTGATTTATGGTGTCGTGTTTTTTGTTGTTGTTGTTTTGTGTTTTGTTTTTGAGACGGAGTTTCCCTCTTACTGCCCAGGCTGGAGAGCAACGGCGTGATCTCAGCTCAGGGCAACCACCATTTCCCGGGTTCAAGCGATTCTCCTGCCTCAGCCTCCCAAGTAGCTGGGATTACAGGCATGCGCCACCACACCCGGCTAATTTTGTATTTTTGTAGAGATGGGGTTTCACCATGTTGGTCACGCTGGTCTTGAACTGCCAACCTCAGGTGATCCGCCTGCCTTGGCCTCCCAGAGTGCTGGGATTACAGGTGTGAGCCACCACCCCCGGCCAATGGTGTCGTTTTTTTTTAAATGACATTTAAAGGACCTAAAAAACTAGCCAATAGAGTGGTAGCAAATGACTGCTTCCAAAAATCTTAGATACTATCAAACAAATTATGAGAACAGAACCGGTGCTGTGGCTCACGCCTGTAATCCCAGCACTTTGGGAGGCCGAGGTGGGTGGATCACGTGAGGTCAGGGTTTGAGACCAGCCTGGCCAAGATGGTGAAACCCCATCTCTACAAAAAATACAAAACTAGCTGGGTGTGGTGGTGGCCTCCTGCAATCCCAACTCCTCTGGAGCCTGAGGCAGGAACCCTGGAGGCAGAGGTTGCAGTGAACCGAGATCGCGCCACTGCACTCCAGCCTGGGCAACAAGAGTGAATCTCTGTCTCAAAAAAAAAAAAAAAAAAAACAAAAATTAGCCAAGCGTGGTGGTGCGTGCCTGTAATCCCAGTTACTCGGGAGACAGGCAGGAGAATCACTTGAACCCGGGAGGTGGAGGTTGCAGTGAGCTGATATCGCACCATTGCACTCCAGCCTGGGCGACACAGCGAAACTCCGTCTCAAAAAAACAAAAAAGGAGAAAGTATATAGCAATATAATTTTCCAAGTCCTTTTTACAGAACTTATTTGGTGTTCCCTCACTCCCCAAAGGAATTCGATGGTGGTAGGTACAGTGGCCTTTTTCAAATGAGAGTAAGTTAAAGTTGAGAAACATAAAACGTCTTCAAGCTCATATAGCAAACCAACAGAGCCAGGGCTGAAAACTGGTTCGTTGCCTGCCACTTATCTAATGTTGCTTCAGCTTTATTGTGTCAAAATTATGTATTTAATATATTTATCAGGAAAGTGGCCTATGGGCTCTAGAAATACTGCTCATAGGAATAAAGTGTTTAAGTCAAGAGAAATTAGTTTCACTTTATTACCAGTATAGTGAATACAAACAAGGGCTGATGAGCAGAACCAGTTTTAGAATGAATGGCCAAGCCATTAAGTTTCGCTTTGAGCTTCTAAGATATTTAAACTCCTTAAAAAGAAAGTGCATAATCCAAATCACTTGCTTAGTAAATTGGTAGAATTTGTCCACAAAAAAGTAGTGGTGGTTTTTCACTTACCTTACAAAGAACTGACCTGCAGGTTAACATTGGCAAGCTATTTTATGTGGCTTTAGATCATATTGAGAGGTTATTTTTGGGGAAATGTGCTTCCCCAAGCTCTAGAAGCTTTATTTTTCCTTCCTTATATTCTCAACACTGTACAAAATAAGGGCAGCTAGATTTTAGCGTGCCAAAACTAAAGGTGGAGCTATAAGCAGAAGGACATAATTAATGGTATTTCATGCTTGATTAGAAAGTAAAAATGTTCATTAGGCATGAACAGAAACGAGTTTGAGAACTTTTTTCAGTTGGTGGAAAGGCAGTAATATTGTGAATAAGTCCTTGTGGAAGGATCACTAGCTAGGAACTTACTAACTTATTAGCAGGTGACTTCATATTTCTAACCTCCGTGTCCTTATGAGATCTTGACCTTCCATTTCCCATTCTGATTTAAGTGAAGTAAGGCACTCCTTAGGAGCCACTGGCCATGTGTGGCTCCATTAATTTAAGAAAAAAACAAAACTACAGTTTCTTACTGTAAAGAAAGCACATGTGATTCGTGGCTGCTGTGTTGGATAGAACAGATACGAAACGTTTATCACTGCAGAAAGTTCTGTTGGGCAATGCTAGTATAAAAGGTATGAGAAATTTGGCCTTTAAAACAACCGGTGCTGGCCCAGCAGTAAATGGGCTGTTTTCTACTAAATCAGGAAGAAGTAGAAATTGATACTCTTCTGTGGTGACTCAATAAATGCATCAACTTCCCTGGCCAATCTTGATTAATGAGAATTTACTGTGCTACAGAATTTTTGGATGAAGTAATTGGTTACGTTGCTCAATACGGTACGAAGTGAAAGCTTCAAAGAATATATATTGTGACAGAAATGAATGTTTGGATTATTGTGAAATGTGCCCTTTTAAATAACGTTGGTTTTTCTCAAGTGACTTTGAGGTTAATGTTTCTGCTTACCATATTTCCAAGATGGTCATGTCTATGCCCTTAGGCAAATATTTAATTTCTGACCTGATTTTCTCTCATCTGTGATTACATCACAGTTTGAGGATATTCTGTGTATATAGTAGGTAGTCAACAGATGTACCCTGTGAGGCTCATCTTTTATTATCCTTTCACATTCTTTATAGTGCCTTTAGCACACAAATAAGTAAGATTCAACATCAAACAGATTTGTAATGAGAAATACTTTGTTTTAGGCAAAAATGTTGTACATCAGCTCTCAGTAACCCTAGAAGACTTATATAATGGTGCAACAAGAAAACTGGCTCTGCAAAAGAATGTGATTTGTGACAAATGTGAAGGTACGGGTTTTTTTTGTTTTGTTTTTTGTTTTTTTAAACGTCTTTAATATGACACCTGAAAATGGAGCTAAGACTTCCTGGATACGTAAAATTGACTCACGTACACTACGTAGATTTTGGGGGAGGGGAGGGCTGATATAAAGAAAACCAACTGAAAACCTGCCACCTAAAGAAATAACAGCACTATTTTCTGTGTATATTTTAAATATAATTGGGATCAAGCTAGCTTGGTATCTTTTTTGTAATAAGTAAAAGTT